TCAATTTGCTACTCAGACCCACTCCTGTTTCCCACCTTTATTTGTGTGATAAAGCAGTGGGATGCTCATGGAAGCATCAGAGGCTGCTCTGGAAAACTCTGCAGTCCTGGACATGCAACTGCAAAACTGACAGAGGCTGTGCCTAAGAATCCAGTGCTCCTAGATCTATTTTTTTATATCTCCCAATGTTTCTGACTTGGCAAAGCTGGCTGTCCAGGGAAGGCTCCTTGGAAGGGGCAGATCAGAGCATCAAAGGAGTCAAAATGTGGACTTGGAGCTTGCCAGGACAGTGAGATTTGGGAGAGAGGAATTTGTTTGCATCCAGGTCCCCTTTGAGTGCTTGCAGGCTCTAGGATTGATCCAGCAGCTTTGGAGAGCCCTGCATTAATGGAAATTTATTTCTGAACACAGATCAGAGCACTCAGGATTCAATAGCTACACCTGGAGCTTGCCAGGCCAGTGAGATTTGGGAGCCAGGACCTTGTTTGCACCCTTTTGGGCACTGTCAGGATTGATCCAGCACCTGTATTAACAGAAACTCATTTTTGAACACAAACACCAACTTAATGTAATAATCCTTCATTTCTAAGACTAGTATCTCTGCCTCAACACCTTTCACAGCAGAAAACTGAGGGTTTGGGGTTTTTTCCCTTTTTTTTTGTTTTGTTTTTTGGAGGGTTTTGTTGGGTTTTTGGTTGTTGTTGTTGTTTCTCTGCTGTGTTTTTGACTAGACCTCCACTAATTAAGCAGCAATTTAGCTGCTTACACTTTGAAGTTTCATTCACTACCTGTCCTGTGTTAAGTCAACAAAAGGCTACATCTAAAGCAGCAAGGCTCAGGCCATCACTTTATTTTTTTTTTTTGGCTGCCTAATTAAGCGTAATTACTTTATTTTGTGCAAGGCTTCATACTTGTAATAATTGCAGCTGCCTGGATGCTGTGGGGGGACTGTTTGACGCCAGAGAGGAGACGTTCCTGCTGTCCTTCCTTGGAATAGCCTGCAAGCCCCAAGCACAGAGCCAGCATTTCCCTACCCACTCATTAGCTGCCCTAGAGGAGAAGCAGCACAGAAGGCGCTGCTTTTATAGGGCCAGGATGTGTAAAGGGGGCTCTCTTGTTGTGCCTAAAAATAGCCTGTGCTGTTGGGGACAAGCTGGGATTAGCCACAGAGGGAATCCTGCATGTTTAAAGGAGTGACCTTCCCGTGGCACAGCAGCTTTGCATCCGCTTCTTTTTTTCTTTTTTTTTTTTCTTTTTTTTTTTTTTTATTTCTGTAATTATGACAGATCAAAAGCAGCGTGCTGCCACTCATTATCTCTCGAGGGGGATTTGAAGAATTACTGTCCTCTTGACAAGCAAAATACTCCTGCTGCTTCTAGTTGGGAGAGATCAAGCAGGAAGCCCCAACCCTCCCCAAGCAAAAAAAAAAAAACAACAAAAAATCACCTGCATTTCATTTTTTCCCTCCTCATGCTTTAGGAAAAGGTTGTTGGAGGAGAAGTAAATGAGTGCCCAGCCTGGTTAATGAGCTCAGGGAGAGCTCCCTGACCCATAGAACAGCCTGAATTTGGAGCCAGGCTTTAATGATTAATCATATGGGAAATGTAGGCTCAGTAGCACTAATAACAGGGGTGGCTTTGGCTCTGTGCTGGCCGGGGACATGGGAGCATCCTCAGAGCCCTCCCTCTCCTCAGTGGTGCCAGCAGGTCTACACAGAGCAGTTAAAACTAATGGCAGATCTAAACTCCAGCTCAAAGAGGAAGGGGAGGGAAAGAGAACAAAAAAAAAACAACAAAAAGCTCAACAACTTCTGGTTTCTACAGGCCAGATAATTTGTGGAGTGTTTGGAGGAACATCACAAAGAATAGGAATGGAAAAACAATTAATCAAATTAATGGAAAAGAGGGATGAGGCTGGGTCTTTGCAGGAGCAATGTCATAGCAGCATTTGGGTCCTGACAGGAAGCAGGAGCTCAGTCAGAGCTGGTTTGATATCAAATGGCTTTGGGTGGGAGGGAAGGCTGAATTTTTATGGCAGTTTTGTGAGGGGCAGCAAGACAAAAATCAGGTATTTGCTGCAAGGGGTTTTGGTTTGGTTGTGGTGGTGTTTGTTGGGGGATTTAAACACTTAAGAAAATCTGATTGCTGCTACATATTGTTCTGATTTAAACACCTTTGGCTGGCTATGCCTGAATTACAAAGATAATTCTTTGTCTGTGCTTGGCATCCAGCCCTCTAAGTTTGTCCTATCAGTGACAGAGTGCACATGTCACTGGCAGGGAGCAGGGAGACAGTGGGAAAATGTTTGCTTTTTCCTATGGAACAGGATTTAAGGCTGCTCAGGGAATGACTGTACATTCAGCTGGCTCACCTTGTGTTTAGGACCCCATGAGGAGAGTGTTTAATGAGGGCTGAGAATGAAAATGTTCATCTCCACCATGAAAAGCGTCTCAGTTTTACCCCAGCACCTCAGGTAAACCACATAAATAAATAATTCCTAAATTATTCATAAATAATTCATAAATACATAAATTCCTTTTTTTTTACTTTTATCCTACATTTCCACCCTCTTAGAGCCCTGTTTGCCATCTCAGGATGGCACAAGCTTGGCAAGCAGAGAGCCTGTGGGTCTGTGCTTGATTTTAGGCACAGGGGCACCGTTAATGATTAAGTTCCCTCACTGAATATCAATTTAAATCAGGTCCATTTAGAGCTTTGCAAGCACAGAGCCCTCAGAGTCAGGCTCACATCACCAGATTCATTTAGGGATGAGCTGAACATGGTTGTGGTGGCAGAGCTTCAGGGGGATGCCCTGCAGCATCCTTTGGAGAGCCATCTAAATTTATAATTATATGAAAATATAAACATTTACAATATTTTACAGAGAGAGAGACTCTGGACAGGAGCATGGAGCCAAGGGGAAATGGCTCCCATGGATACAGGGCAGGGTTAGGTCAGATATTAAGAAGAAATTCTCTCCTGTGAGAGTGCTGAGGTGGTTGGAATTTTGTTTCCCTTACACTTTTCTTTTTTTTTTTTCCATGGATCAATGTTGAACTTGATCTGACACTTCACTGCCCAGGTTTTCCACCTCAGAGAGACCTTCAACAATTCTCAAGGAGGTGAGAAGGTTGGCAGGCCTGGTCAGGAGAAAAGAAGGGTCTGTGGAGACCTCAGAGCTCCTTGGGAAGACGCCATCAGCTCATATCTTAGGCAGCAGACCAAGAACTTAATGTTACAATTCACTTTAAAAGTTTTTTGACCAATCACACAAAGCAAAAGCACATTGACAGTAGTTCCATCCAACCACTATAAGCATACACCTTTGGTTAAACAATGCTTGCTTATTTTGAATACAATACCTGCTTGTAAGCCTTAAAACACAATGCACAGAGCTCCATTACTGAGCTTCAAACTCCCTAATATCTCGCTAGATAAACTTTTCTTCAGCTTAGAGAGTTATTCTAGACAAGTGTTAATACACAGACCATTGTTCTATTTGTCTTTGCTTTTCTACTTTTTAAATAATTTTTCTGCTGACCAATCTCATGGCTGCTGCTTAGCTCTAATCACAGCTCTGCTGTCTCTGAGGCCTGCCTTTTGCACCTTTTCCAAAACCCTCAGATTTTATGGATTCCCACAGGACTTGTTTGCCCCCCACACACATAACTTGGTTTATCTCCTACCTCTACATTTGAAGCAGCTGCTTGGACCCAGTGCGACACCTGTGAGGCCCTAAGAAATGTCCCCAGCAGCTCTGACCCCATGGCTCCCAAACAGATCCCAATGGATCTGGGAGAAGAATTCCCATCCCCTTCCTCTGTGGATTTCTCTGTGTGGACAAGACCCATCTGTGTCCACCAAACCCAACAGGGCTCAGCTTGGACATCAAAAATGCATCCCCCAAATGCTCCCAGCCTCTGTGTCCTGTTCTCAGCAGCTGGGATTGACGGGCTGCTCCCCAGGAAAACAACAAAGGGCTGAGCTGGGCCTTTAACAAATTGCCAGGGGCAGGAGGGGAGGGAGGATAAAGGAAGGAGAAGGATGGTGCTTTTAAATGAGGAGGGGAAAAGGAAAAGACAATGCTGGAAGGATTTTAATTGCACGAGTGCTGGGGCCAGCAAGAAAAAGGGTTCCATCCTATTGGAGCCCCACAAGTGGCGGAAGAGC